TATATTACCCATGTATTAATGAGATTGCATGTACAAAAACCTAAATGAAATCAGAATTTTTTGAAGCAAGAAAGACTGAAAGTCATGGTACGGTATTGTTGATTTCATCATTTTCGTTTCAGCATATATCTGGATGATTTTTGGATTATGGTTTTCGTAAAATAAAGAATACAAGACAAATAAATGATGGATTTCGGACGATTAAGAATATGACTTTTTGTCTACAATATAAAGACTTAAATAGAATGATTATCTTCAGAGAATAAAGAGAAGCGAGAGGTTCTCCTTGAAAATATGAGAATAAATAAATTAATAACTTTTTTTTCACAAAATTTCGCAGCACAACAAAAAAAGTTCCGAACTTGTCCGACCACTTTCAGAGGGTCTACTTCGAAAAAAAGGAAGGCTCAAGTCAAAATACTGTGTTTTTCTGCCTGTTCTCCTAGTGTGTCTCTGAAAAGATTTGCTTCTCGACCTATGTTTGTCATCTAGTTGGTTTTATCAGATGCAGAATTAAATTCTGTATCGAATAGTACGAGTTTCAAAGCGACTACTTTGGGAAAGTAGAGCGGTATAGGTCAAAGAAACGTTTTCACATAGAAACTGTTTAAACACAGCCAAAAACAATACTTTTACTCAAGTCCTTCTATTTTGCAAAAGTAGTCCGTTTGAAAGTGATCAGACAAGTTCAGAACTTTTTTTGTTATGTGCGTTTTACATTATTTTTCCATAAACTGGTAGGCCAAAATCAAAATCGAAAATCGCTTCGATTTTGATGGTATAAACCCCATAGAATTATCCATACATTAGTCAAATTGATTTATTTTTTCTTATATTTGTATTGGAAGATTTAGCAAATATAATATTTAATACATCCTATCCAGTGAAAAATATTTATCGAAAAAAACGGCAAAGAACGCGTTCCACTTTCATAGAAAACTTTTTTTAAGAAAAAAACGCTCTCCATAAAAAGTGGAATGCGTTTCAAAATGAAACGATCAAGAGTGCGTTCTCACCCATAAGAAACGTTTTCTTTTCTTAAAAAAGGGCTTTCACGTTCGCGGAACGCGTTTTTGACCATTACAGTTTAAAATGATGAAAAAACGCGCTCCAAGATCAGCTTTTCCTATGAGATTCCCTGAGGAGTTTCAAATGATTGACAAAACCTCCAAGGAACACTTGAAAAGCTAGACAAAAAAACCGAGAAATACTTGTAGATTGCCTAGAAGCTACGAAGCTTCAATCACTAGGCAATCTACAAGGATTTTTCGTTTTTTGCCTAGCTTTTCAAGTGTTCCTTGGAGGTTTTATCAATCGTTTGGAACTCCTCGGGGATTCTTATAGGAAAAGCGGATCTAGGTTGCATTTTTCAACAAAAGAATGTGAGAAGGGATTTATTATATTTCTATACCCATACAGAAACCCTTAACAAAGATAAGCCGGGACGCTGCTCATTCTACCAATAAAATTCATATACCTTATCTAAGAAGCATATCCTTATCTAAAACAAATTCAACAGAGAAAATATTTCTCTATCTACTGAATCTGAAATTATGGGTCATTGTCTATAATTAAACTCCACAGAGGGTGGGGGTGGGTGGGGGTGTGGTGTTCACTTCTCTTTATCCACACCCACCCCTCCTTGTTTTGTGTTTTCATTATTAAATATTTGTTTTATTTGAATTTTTTAGTTTTTACAATTTGAAGAACGTGAACGAAAATTAACAAATGAAATTCAACGATTACGTACATATTTATTAAAAATGGAAGAATTTCATACAACAGATTTAATTGCTGCTGAAAATCGAGAAAAATCTTTAAGAAATCAAATAGCACAATTAGATAATTCAAATTGTGCACAAAATTAACTTATTCAACAGCTTAATACAAATGGTGAACAATCAAAACACGCATTAGCACAGGAATTAGGAACATTAAAATATGAATATGCCAAATTTGAAACACTTAATACTAATTTAAATAATCAATTATAATATCAAATGAAATGTTCACAAAATTTACAAAATATTCTTGAAAAATTTAAATGAGGTAAAAAGAAATTTCGAAAGTTTTTCTCTTATCAACTCATGTTGCGAAAATCGATAGTTTTGAGAAAAAAATAGATGACATTGGAGACTTATAACTTCCCAAGTTCAACCTAACGTAAGCCAGAACACGATCAGAACACTGCTCATCTCGAATGGACTTGTCTTTTCTTAGCAGAAGTATTAAGATCCTCCACCGATTCTCAAAGAGATTAGGTATACAATGATCATCATAACGAAATCTAAACGGATAGATTAGTGTCAGAATCGAGAACTTGATCAAAATTGAATGTTCGGTTTCTTATCGAAAATTTTTATATCGATGTTGACATAAAGACAGTGGCGGCGCGAAGAGGTCAAAGCAGGAGGGGGGGGGGGGTATTGTGCAAAATGGGAGAAAGCTCAAAAATTTTTTGCCGCCTTCGGTGACAAGAAAATATATTCTTCTAACACGTTGATTATTTATGTTTCTCTCAAATTTTACCCATCACTTCATATTTTTTTTTAGTGATCACGCTATTGGCAACACTATTAGTGATGTTTGGAGTTTTTTTTTGACAAAGTAAAAATAATGTGAATCATTGCTAGAAATTTTTGTGCTCTAGAAGATAATATGCAGGGCTGTCGCGAGGTGTTAAAGATTGGGGGGGGTCGAAAATTTTTCAAAAACTTCTATAAATTATCGAAATTTTGAAAAAAAATTGGAGATTTGTTGAAAATTTTTAGAGATTTTTGAAAATTTTTGAAAAAATTTTGAAGATTTTTGAAAATTTCTTGAAAATTTTTAAAAATATCTAGTAAATAACCAAATTTTCTAAAGATTGGGGGGAGTGATCTCCCGTCCCCCCGGTCGCGACAGCCCTGATAATATGGCTGAACTCTACGCTAAATTCTCAAAAATTGAAGATTCTTTTACATAAAAGATGCCAAGATTTTCGCTTATGCCTCACCAAAAATTTTTGAATAGAATCTTCTATTGTTTCTTATCTTCTTCGATTGTCATTAATAGAGCTTTTAGGTAATCATAGAGATCTCGCGTGTTATTTGACGAATTCTCGGAGCTTGAGAAGAATAGAAATGATCTTGAGCTCAGCTTTTGAATATTTTTCGTAAAAGAGCTAACTTTTATTTTTTAGCGAATGCGGAAGAGGTTAAAATAGAGCAGAGCTTCTTTAGAATTGGGAAAAGTTCTTTCTCAAAACGCAATTGAATTCCTCCAAAGCAATCAATTAAAAAGACAAATAAAATTCAAACTGTACCACACAGATGCATATCTTATCAAGAATAGATCAGTCTATATGTGTCAATGTACACTAATTATATTTTCTACGTTCTCTATCAATAAATCTCTCAACTAAACATTGATTGCGTATTTTGATTCAATAAAATGTCTTTTTAAAGCTTTCTAACAGTAAGATTAATATTCTAATTTTTCATATTTACTGATTTATTGTCGAAATTTTGGTAGAGCGGTGGAAGAAAATATTCCTTTTTGTTGCAAAAGGAAAAAAATTCAAGTCATTTTTTTTCAAAAAACTGAGAAAGTGAGGATCAATGTATCCCAATGCGAGGAAGCTTGCAGCCTAAATTTCTGAGAAATCAGCCAAAGCTGTAGCCCAAATTTCTGAGAAATCAGCCAAAGCTGTAGCCCAAATTTCCAACAGCAAAAGAAGGGTGTTCTCTTCACCCTACTCGGTCGCACAGCCTCAGAACTCTCAAGTCAGGCTCATTTTCTCACAAAATCGGAGAAAATCTGAGACCACTTTCTTCTAAAACTCTCGAAAATTTGAGATTACTTTCTTCTAAAATTAGAGTATGTATAAGGTCACTTTTTAAAATTGAAGGAAATCTGTGGTCATCTTCTTCCAAAATGGAAGAAAATTTGAGATTATGTTCTTCCAAAGATGGAGGAAATCTGAGTTCGCTTTCTCATAAAATTAAAGAAACCCTGAAGTCGTTTTCTCTCAAATTAGAGAGGATTTCAGATCATTTCTCTAAAAATTTGAAGAAATCTGAGGTATCTTTCTCACCAAACTGAAGAAATCCTAGAGTCATTTTCTTGCAAAATGAGAGAAAATCTCAGGGAAATTTTCCCAAAGCAGGAGGGGGTACCCTCCCCCAACCCCTCCCCCCACCGGTTGCGCCGCCACTGTCTGCAAGATGTTTCTGACAAATTCATATAAAAGTTATAAATTTATTTTTTATAGAAAAATGTGAATTTCTTTTAAGGATGCTTCTCTTTTCTGTTGAGTTGTTTCGTCTGTAAACGTGTTATGAAAATAAGTTATATGCAATTCGAAAGAGGAGAAAAAATTCTATCTTTTAGTAGAAAAGGTTTTCTTTCAGCACCCTTTTATCGAACACACATAGGGGTTAACATTTTGTGCCATTACTTTTGCATCATACGTTATTTAAACGACTATAGCAAGGCTAAAATAACCTAAAAAGAATGATTCTTTGTTCAGATTTTTGTACAAGATGGTTAAAATCCAGCGAAATGGCTATATCTTTGTAGAGAAGATCTTTAGGTTCGAATCCTTTTCAAATTATTCTAGCCTTCTGATCCTCTCTTTATTCTCAAAATATAGAAAACTCAAAAGTGTTGAATCATATTGGGGGTGGATTCTTCTTCCGTTAATGAATCGATTATTGCGCAAACAAAGTCAATTTGAACTTTTACAGTGAACATATCTATATACTTTTAAATTCCAAATTACTCACCATCACTGTGAGTTACTGCAATCCTATATTTCCGTAATTCGAGTATGATATTATCAAACTATCGTTTTCGTTTTATGATATGTATACAAAAACAAATTTCCTTGCACATGAATAGTTTTTTTTTGTCGCCAAACGATAAAAGTCAGGCGTAACGATTTTTAATAATTGTTATTATTTTATAACTCTATTGAACAGAGATAAATAGTTTATTTCAGATAGAATTCTATTGCATTTTTTTCACAATCACATTCAAGTTAACTAGCATTATATATCATAAATTGTCTATAGTCTTAAACAATATTGCACTTTCTGCTGAATTCTTTCTAAAACATGTTATTAGTGGAACCAAAAAAATGATCTATTTGAAAAGCTTGCGGAAAAAAGATTATATTGATTATCTCTAAAGATGAATAACAAGTAAAACGACTTAGATATTTTTTTCATATAAGCGCAAAATATAAATAATATGTCTGTTTGTAATATAGAGCAATGGTGACGCATAGAAACTTTTCGAGCTAAGAAAAGAAAAATAACGCAGCAAACGCACGTCGCCATTTTTTATCTTTTTTCTTCTTTCTTCGAGACCTTAATGGTCCAATTGCTTTATTCCTTTTCTTCTACGCAAAAAAAAATAGTAGTCGAATAATCATATATTCTTAGTGTTCTTGATAAAAATTTTCATAAGAACCTTCATCAACATGTCACGTGTATGTGTAGTAGGAGCTGGAGTCGTCGGTTTATCGACTGCTTTATGTATAAAATTACAACATCCTTCAGTGTCTTTAACAATTATTGCTGATCGATTTTTTGAGTCAACAACTAGTGATGGTGCCGGTGGTCTTTTTCGACCTGATGAACGATTTATTCATGGTGTTGATAAATCTATTCTTAGGTATTATTGATCATACATATGTATCTTATTTAAATTCTTTGATTTTGTTTTTTTTTGTTTCAAAAAAATAAAAGAAATTGGTGTCAAACATCATTCGATCATTTCAATAATTTGATTTTTTCAAATATTAGTGCTGAAGCTGGTATTTCACAAGTATCAGGTTATCAATTATTTAATGATCCACGACCTGATCCATCATATAAAAATATTATTTATAATTTTCGTTATTTAACAAAACATGAATTAGAAATATTTCCTGATCATTATAAGTAAGAATTTAAATTTAAAAAATATTTTTACAAAAATAAAATTATAATCCATTTTTTCATTTTTAAAGATATGGTTATTTTTGTACAACATTGTATGTTGATACACGTAAATATATGAAATATTTAACTAAACTGTAAGATTATAACAACAAAAAGAATTTACATATATATATATATTAGAAATTAAAATAAAATTTTAGATTAACTGAAAAACAAGTAACATTTACAAAAAAGAAAATCAATACATTAGAAGAAGTTTGTTATTTATTTATTTCTGACCTTTCTCTTTTTTTTTTTTAATAAATATGATTTATATAGTTAGCTGAAAGTTATGATATTGTAGTGAATTGTACTGGTTTTGGAGCTAAAGAATTATGTAACGATAATTTAATACGACCAATACGTGGTCAGGTGATTCGTGTTCGAGCACCATGGATTAAACATTTTTATTATACAGATGATAATTGTTATTTGATACCGAAGTAATGAAAATTAATATATATATTTTTTTTTTATTTCATTTATTTATTTGTTTTAGTAATGAAATAATTGTACTTGGTGGTACTCGACAATTAGATAATGATAATACACAAGTTGATTTGAATGATAAAGATGATATTTGGCAACGATGTCTTCGATTATGTCCAAGTTTAGCGGTAATTTTCAATATTGAAATAAAAACTAGATATTTTCTTCTTTTTTTTTTTTAGCAAGCTGAAATTCTTTGGCATTGGGTAAGACAAATATTTTCATTTTTGTTGTGTTTTTTTTTTCTTCGATAAATTAATTATTATTTTTAGGCTGGATTAAGACCTGATCGTAAACCAATTCGAGTTGAAACTGAAATTATTAAATATGGAAATAAAAAACTTTTGGTACAAAAAAAAAGCAAAATAAATAAATAATAATATTTTCTTTTTCTTTTGTGTGTGTGATAATTT